GCTGTTGCCTTTGCTCGGAACGGGTTCGGCACTGCCTGCATGGGGAGCACGTGCCTTGGGAAGAACCCGATCTATGCCCGAGGTCAAGAGCCTTTCATTTGGGAGAGAAAGCGCAACCGAGGCGGGGCGATCATCTGCCCCGGCGCTGGAGGCCATCTCCTGTGCCTCCGTTGTGTTGAGGCCGAGTATGTTGGAGGACGGCCTTTTGTGTCGAAGGAGACAGGGTGCGTCATCCCCCAAGGAGAGCTGGTCACCAAGTTCGAGCTCTATCCTAAGAGGAAGGAGCTGCACCAGGCACAACCAGGGAAGACGGCAACCGAGGGTGGGCACCAGTTCTTTGTACAACGAAGAGACCTCGCTCCTTGCCCATATTGCACCGAGTCAAAGGCAATATCTAAGCGAGGGGTGAAGAGGCCGCTCGAGGAAGGGACGGCGCCATCAGAGCTCGGGCCCATGAGCATGCTATTGGAGCTCCAACGAAGCAAGGTCCCGCCGACAGCCGTTGCGCCTGGTCTCTTCTTAGTACCACAGTTGGCCTCAGACGGGCGCCTTTTGGACATTTTAGTGACAGACAAGGGGCTCATGAACGTGCCGCGGCTCGTAAGAATTGACCATATGGGGAAGTTTGCGTGCGTGTACGGGCAGAGGGCGTACAGAGGTCATGAGACGAGCTTCCTCGAAGAGACTCGTTTTTTGAATGACTGGTGGCAAGGAGGACTTGCCAAGTTCACCTCTTTCAACGAGGGGCGGTCCTTTGTCCACGAAGTCACAAGGGAAGGCGTGCAATGGGTGTTGCCATTGGATCAGTGGGGGCGTGTTGGGGCGCCTCTCTACGGACTGGACGCAGAGGCGTGGGGGTGCGGTCCACAGCTTCGCGTCTTTGTCGTGTGTGATTGGGGAGAGCAGCCCGTGGTTTGCGTGCTAGGGGGCAAGAGTATGCACTGTAGCCACGTGGACTGCAATGGCGCGGACCGGTGCCGACACCTCTCGAGGGTGCTCTCAGAGTTGGCAACGCTTGGTGGAGTTGAGGGCCCCGTTGCAAATGGTGCTCAAAACGGGAATGGCCCGACCCTTGCCAAGAGGCGAGCAGAGAGGCTGAAGCAACAAGAGGCTGGATTGAGAAGGCTCCTCGTCTGCAACAAGCCTGTGTGCCGTCGGCCGGACTTCAAGGGCGCATGCACGCATCAAGGTTCGCTCGAGCTTTGGGAGTGCTCTCCTGCTGCTGCTCTCGACATGGGCCACAGCCATAAGAAGATTGACACGGTCATGAGCAGAGGGGGAGTGGCGGTCACGAGCCTCTGTGAGCGCTGGGGCGAGGCTGGAACTAGACAACGCGATGAGGCCCAACACTTCTGCGCGCCAAGGCCTTGCGACCCTTTGAGTCCGTGCGATCGATCCTGGAAGCTCGAGAGCAGAAAGGGGTCGTTATTTGCTGCTGGAGCGCGCTATGATGTCACCACCTTACGAAGGGTCTGCCGCATCGCTCCAGGTCGGGAGGCGGCGTGTTGCTCGCTGGCCTACGATGGCCAGGTAAGAAGGGGCTCGCTTTTCATTCATTTCTGTGATGCGTAATCTTCCTTCTGTCTTGCATCACATTTACCCTCAAGATATGGCCTGAGGTCGACGCAATCGGTAATGCTCAAGCCAGCTAGAAACGCTTGCATCTCAAAGTCGACTCCCAAAGCTTCGAGTTCCTTGTAATGATCCATGAGATGGTTCCTTCTTCGCGCAACCACCCTCTTCCTCCAAGCATCTCGAGCCTTTTTGTACCCCTCCAACCCGTTGTTTTCGCGGATCGCTTGAAGAAGAACGTCTGATTCTCGATAGTAATGCTTGCGCAGTCTACTTGAAACCCATGGGTAGGTGTATGGCAGCCCTGTTAGATCTTTAAGGTGGTACTTTTTGCGAGCTTCAGCGCTGGTTAGACATCCAAGTTCCTCATGGGAAATGAGGATACATCTCTGACACATGAGTTGCCCCTCATGTGGAGAGAGAGGCCATTGGAGACACTTGCATTTTTGTCCACACATCATGCAAGTTTGTTGAGGCTCCTTGCTTCTTGGGCAAGGATGCGGTCCCGCCGCAAGATCCAATCTGGAACGATCAGGATACTCGCGCATCTTGTCTCCAATTGAAGCCTGAGCCTCCTTGCACGTTGATGCTGAAGTAGCTAGATCTTCGAGATTGAGTTTTCCGTTGTCTCCAACGATACTCAACACTAATCCAAATTTGGCGTTGACGTCCATACGGATTAACGAACCGTTATTGAAAGCCACTAAAAGAAGGGAACGTGCAGGACGCGGCAACCGATCAAGTCTCTCATTTCCGCCCTTGCAGGAGGATGGCATCTTCAACTTTTCGGGCCACACCCTTATTCCCCACGGCCTTCTTCTGCGCAACCACTTTGCTGCGGCCCTCGGGGCTTCCCACAGCCTCAACTTTGAGGCGAACGACATGGCCACAAAATGCCTCGAAGGGCCTGGTGTCTCGAGACTGGACGATCGGGTCTTTGACTCAGCTATGCAAGCCTTCAACGACCTGGCCGCACGCGCGCGCATCCAGCACGTGTGCTCGCGTGCCAACTGCGCGCACCTCTACACAAGCGAGGTGGAGGGGGCAGAGAGAGAGGCTCGCAAGTCAGGCAACCCTCTCAGAGCAGAGCGAACGGAGGGGCCAAGCTCCGACCTATCGACCTATGCCTTTGGCCAGGACAAGGTCGTCACTTTCGATGGGACCTTCTTTGCCAACTCGAGCGCAATGCGCGACAGCTCGGAGGCCTCGCTGCATAGCATCTGCGAACCAGATCCAGCGGTGCCTCGGGTAGCTGGCGGCTTCACGCCCCTCAGCGTCGGTGGAGTGCGACCCTCAAACGTGCCGTTGGAGAGGATCGACTGCCCTTGGAAGTATCGCAACGGACTATCGGAGTTGCGGCCGGCCGTTCGCAATCTTGCGTTTAGATGGTGCAACTTTCGGAAGGCGCCAGGGCAAGGAAGCAATGCGCCCCTTTCGGCCGAGGAGTTTGTGACCATGCGCGAGGGGCTGCCGCTAAACGTCAGAGCTCTGATCGACCACGTGACGGAGTCGGGAGCGTGTCCAACCCCCGACACATGTGCGGTCTGCAAGGCGGTCCCTCGGCGGCCTTGGATGCAAGGTTTCCTCAAGGAGGGCCCAGTTGGAGCAACGGGCTGGTGCCCGACCCACTTCCAGCCATTTGGGGCTCTCCTTCACGCCCTCCTTATCCCGAGATACTCCTGGGTTTTTGGCCGAATCGTGACCCTCAAACTGCTACGCCACCTGCTGCTAGAGGGCCCGCTTGACGAGAGAGGGGTGGCGTACCTCTCCGAAGACGGCCCCATGCTGGCGGCCATCTTGCGCCATCGACCTGTTGGGAGCGGCTTGTACGCCTTCCCTGGGGCGCTCAGGCCGCTCTTCAGAGACATATACGCCACCAACCTCCTGTGCTTCGAGCCAAGCGCAAATCGGCCATTTGCATCCTCTCAGTCACCTTTGGCTGCCCTCCACGATGCAACAGAGCACCTATGGGCCCTCGAGCGAGAGAAGCTCAGACTTGTGGGTCAGCAAGAGGGGGCTGCGATGGAGTACGCCGAGCAAAGGGGGGTGGCACTGAAGAGGGCCGCCAACTCGCTCCTATTCGAGCTGGAGGTTCGTGACCCAGAGTGTTATGGAGAGAGTGGCTTCCTTCAGGCGCCTTCAGCAGCTTATGCAAAGCGAGTTGCCGAAGTCTCTCAATATCCTTTCCACCGTTGCTCTATGGGCGGCCGAGATTCGAGGACTGGGAAGACGAGATGGGCCGGGGGAAGAAGGGGTCGGAGGAGCGGCTCAGCCAGCACTGCAGTGCTCCTAATCCTCGACCAACCAAGGGGCGCGCTGGATTCTTCGTCGCGTGCTGCCAAGACCGAGGGCCCCTTGGCTATCACTGGCTGAAGGGTGGCGAATCCGTCTCGGATCTTGGAACAGTGTTGTTGACGCGCTTCCCGTTTAAGACGTTGAGGGGGCTCACAATCGTGGAGGACGCGGCGTGCAATGCACAAGAGTGGCTTCTCAATCGGGTGCCACAGCTTGCCAAGTTCATGCTCTTCCTTGTGGATCGCTTCCACTCAGGGCCGGTGAGCTGCGCTCCATCCGGAGCCAAGCGCTACGCGACACACACCTGCTCTCCAACGCTCTTCATCGACTCTTTCCCACAACATCGTCACACAATCACGACAGCGTCGGAGGGCATCAACTCGGGCTTGAAGAGATGCGCGGCTAGCCTCCAGCAGATTACGAGTATCAAGCGGTTGCTTAGCAGGGTCACGACCATTCTCGATACGTTGTTCGAGCGGTCAAAGTACGCGGTCTACTGGAGCCAGGATAGCAATCCGCTGAGAGACTCGATTAAGATGGGGCGCGGTTGAGGTTGTCATGTAAACTCACCCATCACTCATTCCATGCGCTTTTTTCACCAACATCACAAAATGTCTAGCTTAGGGCCTGGTGAGTAACTGATCACTCTACTAGGTTGAGATGGTAGTGATTTTTATGATGGTACTTCTCAGTAGATCAAGTACATGGATGCCATAGCTGGATTTCAGTCTCCTACTGCAAAAATCGTTCGAGATAAGAATTCGAGCGTGCTTTCAAGCGTCCGTTCACTTATTGTACGCGCTTACCAACAACAGCAGCTCACTAATGTGGTGATTGACATCGGTGCATTGGCGGGGATACGTGCTCTAACGGCACCGTTCAATTTGACAACTATCACGAACTTTGTGATACGCTCACTCCTCGCGGAAGGCTTTCGAGTATGCAAGATGGAGTCGACAAGTCCCCATCATGTCTTTGTTGAATGGGGCAGCGTACTGAGATCGATGCGAAGAGCCAAGAAGAAGTATCACTCATCTCGATCTACTCCGCTATATGACCCACGTCAGACCAGGCAGAAGCATAATGACTTACCTAACACGGAGATCAGTGAAACGGATTGTGAACCAACGGGAAGCGTTCTGATGCTGGACTTGCTTGTAAATCCCCAGAAAGTGAAGGGATATCTGGCGAAGGCGCCACGAAATGAGACCTTGCCGGCCACGCCTCATAGAGAGCCGACCTGAGCCCTCTGGAATTCATAACCTTGGTCACATAGCAGCATGTGCGATTCCTCATGTAGAGCCGTCTCGATTGAGTAACCTAAAGCATGGTCAGGAGCGCAGCAATAACCAAACCCATGTACACAATCTACCCATGTCCCGTTCTAAAAAGATGTCCACCCTTCATCACGATTCCAAGACGGCTCCCTGAAATTTCTATAGAAATTTCAGTGCGTGATTTCCTGGTGAACGGCACACGGAATCGTTCAAAAGCGAAATGCGACATACCTTATTGACGACAAGTTCACAGATTGTGACCAGCTTTCGTCACGATTCCGGATTCGAGTGGATATCTGGGGATTCCTCATGGAACTTCTTTTCTTTGCTAGATATAACTAGCATGGCCGCCTCCTCAGTAAGTCCGGCTGTGCCATCAACATCCGACCGTCTTAAGGTGATCCCGTGTGGCGAGAAGAGTCTAGAAGAGCTTCTAAAATGCGACAATGCTCGCTCGCATGCAACAGTATCACAGTATGTGCTTGGGGTCAGGACGATATATTACACTTTAACAGGAGAACAAACCCTGCCCCCCGACTTAGAGTGGATCCGTTCCAAAGTCAGCACCATCATTCCGACACTCCAAGCAAAGTATCCAAATAAGGGATCGCTGGCGAGCAAGCTCACGCCCCTTCTCGTCATCTGTCGCTTGCAAGGATGGAAGGAATCTTATGACGTCTATTTCGACGCATTCCTTGAGGCCAAGAAAGTGGCCAGAATTAAGCTAAGTGCAGTCCTTCCCGATGCATCCGTTAGTCGAGATGACGTTGTGAGCAAGGTGAAGGAAGTTGGGCGCCTGATTCGTCGTTACTTGGTCCCTAAGGTCGATTCTGGGGTCGTCCTTGCACGGGACGAGGTAAGAAGCGTCTTTCAACACCTGATCCTTGTTGCGTACATCCTCGAGCCTGAAAGGAGGAGATGTTGGGCCGATCTTCCGATTCAGAAGAGAGATGGTTCCTTCTATAGCACATTTGCAGCTGTTGCATTCACCATGAAGGGCACCACGTTGAGAGAGAGTGGAGACGGCACGTTCAGCTTGATCCTAAGAGATAAGGGGAGTTCAGGGGAGGAGTGCGAGCGAACCCACCCCCTGACGGCCAGGTTCTGCTATTATCTGGATAGATCCTTGAAGCTCGTACCACGTGCGTACTTCCTTGTTTGCACAAGAAACTTGGGATTGGCAATGAGCGAGAACAATCTTTCGAGATTCGTCGGTGACATCCCGTTCTCGAATGGGAGGTCTCTAACGATAAGCCACCTACAGCAGTTATTTCCAGATCAGCACAAGGGAACTTCCAGCAGTCGCGATGACATCTAGTTTCATGCTGCTTTTATTGCAAGCGGAGAAGATGAAGCATCTCTTATCATTTCGTCCGCTTTTCCCGGTTGAATTACAGGAAAGCCCGCTCTAATAAGCTTTTGGATGGTCTTCTGGTGGCTTTTCACGCCAGATTGGTATCGAGCGTATGCTTGAGAGAGGAGGATGTCCTCTTTGTGGCGTTTGTAGTAAGCCCGCAGATGGCGGAGGTGCGCTTGAGGGTCACGTTCTCTGTACCTTCGCAATGTTTGACAGTGTGCACATGGGCACACAAAGACCTCGTCCTCGTATCTAGTGAACGTGGATGCCGGAGAGGGCTTTTCCTCCATTTTTCAGTAGCGCGAATTCTGCTTAAGAAGCAGAAAAAAAATGGAAAGAGGCGAACGCGTTTGACATGCTCTAGAAATATTCTTCAGACACTGTATTAAGAAACTAGTGATGGCCGCCTTCGAGGAAGTTCAGGACGTGAGCGTGTTTGGCAACTCTGGCTTTGCACTCTTGTGCCCAAATGAAGGGGAGCGAGTGACACACCCACCACGTGGTTTGAAAACTCAGAAGCGGTGCGTGGAAGCAGCCATCCGGCGCTTGGCCTCAGAAGGTCTCTATGGAATACCCTTAGAGATCAAGTACAAAGGAGGACAGAAGGAGGCTCTGATCCGCCAACCATATGGACACATTACATCAGTTGCTATCTGGGAAAAGTGTATCGGAAGGATGTTCGAGAAAGCACCGAACAGAGTGAACTCGATAGCTCTCTTAACCGGGATTTCAGACGTGTTCGCATTGGATGTCGACAAGGAAAGCAAGGTAGGCAAAGAAGGAGTCGAGATTCGATCAGGGCTTGAGCTTTGGGAGCAACGTATAGCTCAACACGGTGAACCACAGACTCTGAAGGCCAAGTCGGCCAGAGGAGGGCTTCATTACCTCTTCAGGAGCAGCTTGAGCACAAGATTCAAGCATCGCGATACAAACTTTCGATTTCTAAAGTACAACGGCCATCATTGGGCTGTGGATGGCCGTGGAGGCATGGGGCTCCTCTTCGTTGAACCGTCCTCATTTCAAGACGAGTCGGGCACAGTCTACAGATACGCATGGGATAGATCGCTCTGCAACGTGCCTCAAGCAATGCCGGGATGGCTCATCGAGCTCCTGACAGGTAATGAAAAGGAGCTTTTTGGCGCGTTGGACGGTGCAGCTCCCTCGTGCAGTCAAGACTCGGGATCTTTAACCCCAATCACAGCCATCTGCAACGCCCCAAGAGCTCTTGGAAGCTTCCCGAGCTTGCAAGCCGCAAAAGAGAAGATTGCTAAGTTTCTAAAAGAGAAGCTCCCCAACGATGAAAGTTGTTTTTGCGGGATGGACAGAAAGACTCCTAACGATTGGCACATTCTCAAGTACAAGACGAACGGCATACGCACGTGCCTCAACGGTGAGACGCATAGCTCGAACAATTGGAGCGTCATGAGCAACGGCGCCCTCTTGCTGTATCGTTGCCTGGGCACAAGGTGCAGCCAGAAGCCGAAGCGTTTCCTGGGCGTGCACCTTTGGCCCGAATGCCTTCCTGAGCAACTCGGGAACGGTAAGCTCCTCCACGATTGCCATCAGTATATTTGCACGATGCTATGGACAGCAAGTCGAAAGAGGAGCAGAAGGCCAGAGTTAAGATCTTGGCGGATATCACCGTAGCCGTTCTCAACACCTACTGCGGCGTGGTTGTTGGGGTGTCCAAACCGATCTACATCGAGACGCTCTTCCGTCGGAGTATCGACGGCGGGTTAAAGCCAAAGAGCACCATTCTCAGGACTGGAGCCGACTTTGCTTTGCGTTGCGAGTGCCTCTCTCTACAGCACCTGCCGGCAAAGACCGCCGGGCAATTCTGGCGCCAATCTCCCCATCGGAAGATCTACGACTCAATCGTTTTTGACCCAAACCTGCATGGACGAGAAACAAAGGACTACAATCTCTACCACGGGCTCTGTTTTGACCCGAGCGAAGTTGCTCTGCTCGATGCAGATGGCATGCGCGACTGCGAGGCTCGCTTGCCTCGGCTATTCTGGCACATCCGGCACATCTTGGCAAACGGGGACAGTGCATGCTCGGATTACGTTCTCAGCTGGCTTGCTCATCAAGTGCAGCGGCCAGGAAAGAAGATTGGAGTGGCCCTCGTCTTCAAATCGAAACAAGGCGCCGGGAAAGGCATGATTTGGGACTTCGTGGGTTTCAAGCTCCTTGGCGAGGCCCTCTATCTCTACTGCAATGATCTAGACAAGGTGATTGGTAAATTCAACTCCATCTCTGCCAACAAGCTTCTTACCGTCTTCGATGAAGTGTCGAGCTGGGGAGGGGCGTACAAGAGCAACAACCGATTGAAGAGCCACATCACGCAAGAGAATAACATGCTCGAGAAGAAAGGAATAGACCCCATCCAAGTCAAGGACTTTTGCAACTCGGTCTTCACGACAAACGAAGAGTGGCCAATCAAGCGCGAGGTCGATGATAGAAGGTACGCGGCAATCGAAGCATCCAACCAGATGCTGGGGAACACCGAGTACTTCACTCGTTTATCGGAAGAGCTCGAAAAGCCGGAAATGGCCAAGCTCTTCTTCCAGTACCTTCTATCCTTAGATATTTCCAAGTGGAATGCAAAGTTGGTGCCTCAGACAGCGTGGGGAGAAGCCTTGAGAGCACACTCAATCCCTGCTTATGCGGCGATGGTGCAAGCTCTCCTCGAGAACGGTTGCTTTCATCCAACGAAAGAGACTTGGGCCGCCAGCGAAGACATTTCGGCCACCTACGAGACGTTTCTCTACGACAACAACATCCAGTCGCCGGAAGCTAAACTTTCGAGAACGGCGCTCTGTGGGGCTTTGCACAAGATCTTCAAGCTGCGTTCGGGTACTCGAAACCTGAGCAGACCAAACAACGATGCGTTCAATCAAGATGCAAAAACGATCCGAGGATGGTGGTTCATGCCCGAAGGCGAGATGTGCAACCTCTTACGGAGCGAGAAGGTCTTCCAAGAGGGGACAGCACACCTCTGGAAGGAGATCAAATGGGAGAGGCCTTTGGGACATGCCAACGACAAAGATCGTCCCTGGATGACGAGCCCTGATTCATCGCTGAAGCCTGAAGGTGAAATAAAGGAGCATCGCAAATGTCTGGGTTGCGGGTTTGAGCATATTGGCGTGAAGGTCGAGCCAGACTCAACCTCTACGCTCCAAAAGAAGCCCCTTTAGAGCGAGATGGGGTCCCGGAATCTATCATCACATCATCACACTTCTTTAGAAGTAAAGTGTGATGGACCCAAAGTGAGAGCTAACCCAACAACCAATGGAAAGAGCAAGTGAACATCACAGCATCACAGGCAAACATACACAATCACCAAAAACAGACGATGAGAAAAAAACAAACTGAACTTATTTTGAAGTGTGATCTGTGATGTTGTGATGTCCTTCTCCTCGCTTGCCTGTCTTGTAGGCGTGATTGACAGCACAATGCGTACTTTAAGCCTGAAGATAGTGCAACTAGGCAGCAGATCGTAAAACGGTGCCAGACGTTGGACATCATCTCAACAAAGTGAAGAGACTTAAGGCAGTTTTGCAGGCATTTGGTCATTACTAGCTCTTGTTTAGCTTTTTACGACTGACCAGGTACTCTAAACCAGGAACAAAACCTATGACATCCTCGTTTGGTTCTTGACAACGGCCTAAAAGCACATCTTCTTGCATGCACGGTTTTGCATAGCGAGGAGACCTTTTCAATAGTGATGGATGCCTTGGGTCACGCGAGTGCTGCTTGCGCGCCAAATTCTCTGAAATATATGCATCACGTAGCGCGCGTCTCCAGCTCACACGAATCGTGTAGAGACTAGAACATGATGTGTCCCAGATCGCTTCAAAACCTTCAGCGATCAGGCGTCGAATGACTTCATGAGTGATGTGCCTCATTGAGAAAGGAGGTGCTAAGGCTCTGATTCCAGCCAAAGCCCCCACATCTAAAGAGATGCTAGTGACTCCGCTTTCCCGATACGCTCGGAGTATTGCCGACTTGGTCGATTCGAGCACTATCCGATCCATTTCCATAATTGCAAGACGGTTCTTTGGTTGGAAGTCGAGAATGCGGTCCATTGACTCTCTATTATCTAACGGTCTTGAAAATGATACATGCATTCATTTGTACGACAGCTTGCATTGATCCATAATATAGCTAATTAATCACTCGGTAACTTGTCCTTCGGCACAATGATACAAAGGCCGATGTCATCGTCGCCTAACACCTGTGGCGCAGCAAGATCCTCCAACAACGGTTGGCCAGACGGCCTCCGTAGCAGGTTATCCAAGTCACTCGCATCTACGCTGTCGAGGTACTCTCGAAGTGCGGGGCTCAGCTCCCCCCTGTACTGCCAGACTCGAGGGACTTCACGGAACTGCAACTTGACGAGCTTTGCCATTCTAAGAACGTACTTTCGCTCCAACTTGTACTTGTAGTCGCTGTTTCCAGACCCCGACTCGTTCTGCTTCCCCTTCCCTCGCCGTGGACGCTTCACCTCGATCTGCTTCCCAACTTTGAGGCCCATGTACTTGAGCACACCATTCATAACCGTCTTCAACTGGCCCGGGTCAAGATGAGCTTTTCCCTCTTTGGGTGCCGGCAAGTGAATGCCAAACATCTCAGAAACGGCACGCTCAGCCATTGCCACTTTTGCACCAGCGCGCTTAGGGCGGCCTTTGAACAGATCCGACCCCAGCAGCCGATCTCTGAGTCCGCCTGCCAGCAGCGAGCGAGTCTCCCCGCGCACATCAAGAGGATGCGCAAGGCCCATGTCCTTGAGCAACGTCCGTGCGGCTTCCACCATGACGACCTCGTTGCTCTTGCGAGCCACTGTCCCCTCGTCAAGGAACCTCCCCTCCACCATGACCTTGAGCAGGAAGTCGAGCTGCTTCGAAAACGGGGGCTTGAAGGCGGCCTTGGTCTCCTTGAAGAAGTGCTCGTCAAGGTTCTTGAGACCGTAGTACAGGCAGGCCTCATACCTAATCACCTCTAGGTTCTCTGCCCCTTTGTCCCTTTTCACATCTCGCAACCGCTTCAACCGCCTATACTCCGCTGCATCGATCGCATTCGCCTCTATGATCTTGAAAGCCTCTGGATCCAACCCACGCCGCTTTGCACTCTTCTCTGAATCCTCCTCGCATTGCTCAATCTCTACCACGTGGCCAGCTCGCGCGACCTGCAGCTGGAAGTCCTGAAGAAGCCGCGCGTCCGAGTTCCGCCGCTCTGCTTCAGTGTGCACGTAGGCACGGAAGAGGGGGCCGTCCTCGATCAGGCGGACAGCACGGGCAGAGTTCTCGGTGCGCGAAACGACTCGCCTCCACGCAGCCGTCTGATAGGTGGTGCAGGCTTGTAGATACTGCAGTGTCTCCGCCAGAGTGACGCGGCGTGGGAGGTTGAAGGACCCCTGCACGCAAGAACGTTGGAATGAGCGATTCAAAAAGAAAAGCCATGGCCTGGCCGACCTTGCAGCGCCTCACAAACAGTGACGTACCAAGGTTCTGCGTCTTCTTTATAAACAGATCTCAAAGGCCGAACCTTGGTACCTCACGGTGAACTATAACATCCCTGAGAAACTCTCAGGTATGGCAGACCCTGCAGGGCCCCTGAAACAGAGGCGTACCAAGGTTCTGCGTCTTCTTATTTACAAGATTAGAGGCCAAACCTTGGTACCTCACGGTGAACTACAACATACTTTGAAAAGTTCGAAGGCATGGCCGACCTTGCGCCCCACTCACAAAGTAGTTCAGGAGTCGCTTTGCTTTTCTTAGCAACGCATGCCAATCTCCCAACCGAACAAGAGAGATGTTCGCAAAAGATAATACAGCCTCCTCGTCCCACACTGTGCTCCGATTGTGCCTTGTAGTCCTCACACCATCTTGACTGGACGACAGAGAAGAAGGGTTCGCCGTTTCTTTTGGCATTTTGAACACACTCTGTACAATCAGACTGGAGCCAAAGCACAAGAGATGTCCTACCTTGAGCTGCTGCTTCGGATTCGCAGTCTCTACGGCTGGCTGGTGGGGCCTCGACGCCCGGTTGAGAGGAGATCCGGCCGCAACTTGCTGGTCCAAGCGGTTGCCCTCCTGGTGGCAAGAGAAAACACCAGACACATCATCCCTCTGAGACTCGAGGTGCCAGCTTCAGCTTCAAAGCAATTGGAACACTGAAATTGGCACAAGCAGGTTCTACTTGCGCGCTCAACTCCAAGTTGACGCGAAAACGGGATGGTCTGGTGAACGGTGCGAACCATACCTGTGAAGGCGACTCGTCGCCGGGGTCGGGTGTCTGCACGGCCGGGGCCGTCGAACTCTGCAGAGAAAGACCTGTCATCAACAAACGCTCCTGGTTTCTCGAGCAGGCTGCGCTTCTGCGTGCAGACCAAGTTGCAAAGGACTTCCAAGGAGGAAATTTCGGTTGCTCAGACTGGGGCCCTGATTGCAGCCCAATCAGCCTCGTGACGCCAACTCAAGCGAGTTGCAACAGGGCAGAAGCTCTGTACGGACAGCTCGGCGCCTAAAGAATCTCAATGTTGCTCGAACACGCGAGATTATGCAAAGCCTGAGCGGCTCTAACATCTTGAGCGCGCTCTGCCATGCAACGCCTTTTGCCATGAGCACATTGCTCACCTGACGAGAAGTATGAAGACAGGAGGCTGGGATCTCCGGCGCACAGTCGAGCACAACAGAGATGGACTCCTGGACGAAACAATGGACCAGCGAGCTCTGCGTTCGCCGGACCCGCAGCGTCGCTTGCCAGGCCGCCCGAGCCGTCGTGCTCTTGCGGCACATGTAGAGGAATTTGGTGTGGAACCAATCCTCGTCGAAGTTCACGCCAGCCTCGACGGTTGGGCTGTACATGAGCAGACGGACCTTCCAGTTTACAGCAACGTTCCTCAAGAGAGCCGTGTTGTCCCCCCCACTGAGGGCCTTGTGGATGAGAATGTCGCTCTCCGTGAGCGAGATCTGCGTGATCACTCGGTCTTGGATGCGCTCCAAAACTTTTGCAGACATGCTGACCACGACCACGTTCTTGCCAGCAGCAAGATCACTGACAATGCGCTCCAGCCACGCCCTCTCATCCTGGCAGACGCGAAACGTAAGGGGAACCTGGCAGAAAGTGCTTAACGATTCAACGCCCCATGCTCTGAAAGCTTTGCATACCAAGAGCGGGGCCCTTCTGAGCCATCACACAAGGTAAGCAAGAAGGTAAGCAAGACTGTCAGCAATGCGGTCAACAACAGCACTCGTTTTTCCAGGGCAACTAGGAACCAACGAGGGGAAGCGAAGAGGCGCTGAGATAGACACTTGCATCACCATCCTGCATCAGCGTCTAGAAGTCTGATGGCCAAGTTTGCAGCAAGCAGAGTAGCTCGAGGGGGCGCGCAGAGACGCACAGCTGTACGGATGAGACTTTCGATGCCCTACCGATGCCCTTCTCGTGTTGATGATGAGCTTTCCATGCACGGCCGCGAGTTGAAAGAAGTCGTGCTCCCGCTGCCCATATCCGTCGTCCATAGCCAGCACCCGCGTTGCCCGTTGCACGATCTCCAGGAACAGCTCCCCAGTCTCCATGCCGTTTCTCAGGGTCGCAGCCGAGAGATGCGCGAGGATGCTGGCCACTTCGTCCAAGATCACGAGGTCGAAGGGAGGAACCTCACCAATGCGACCAGGCCGGAGATTCAGAAGACTGTCGACTTGAATCACGATCTCCGGGAATCGCTCACGGGATTGGAGCGCCGTTAAAAGAGTGTGCTTGTCATCCGGATTCTCAAACCATTCGTTCTCATAATCAGCCTTCAGGTCGAGATAATTTGCGGTGCGGGGAAAGCGTTGTTTGAGATCCTCCGCCTGCGCTCCACGGTAGGTGATCATGCAAGTTCTCATTGGGCGGCCGCTCGCTTGCCGGACCAGCTCGAAAAGCTCGTCCGAGACCGCCCCGCAGAACACCGTCTTGCCGGTATTCACACCCGACCGGATGCCAAGGAGGGGGAACTTGCCCGCGATCCACCTGCGCAATGTACGTGCGAGAGTCGCTGTGCAGACACGGGCTGACTTGCTGACAGGTCACGAGTGGTTGCTTCTCAGAAGCATTTCACGAGGAGCCTTGAACCATGATCAGGGCAGGCTGAGCTCGATATCAAGCAAGACAGAGGCCGCCTATGCGTCTCGAAGTGATTGAGGGTGCATGCACGTGCTTCAAGACAATCCACATGATCCAGATCAGTCTGCAAGCTGGTAAGAATCGACGACTGGATCACGCCTCACGCAAAGAACTTGGAGTCCATTCGTGACACTCACTCGTTGGCGACCGTGTTCAGCTTCATTAGGTCGTCTGCCGTCGCTGACCCCGCTGCTACCTCGGCCAAAAGCTCAGAGGTTGACGCGCCAGGAACCCGCTTCAGGTGCTGCACGTCTACCTTGACGGCGCCAGCTTCGAACGAGACGTTGTCCTCGAATAGGTCTCCGAGGTAGAACGCCCTGCTAATGCACGGCGATTCTGAGTCTCCGCCCTCGGTGTTGTTGCTGAAGCAGAGGGCATAGATCTTGCCGTTTGGGTTGAGGTGGCAGGTTAGATTCTGGTGGTTTTCATGGATTCGACCTGTGTAGCACGGCTCCGAGCGATCGCTGTAGTTGAAGCGATCAGGGCCTTCCTCATAAGCGGTCCGGTGCAAGCGCTCTCTAAGAAGGGCGAGCATGCGGGCCTTGACGAACTCCTCGTTCTTTGAGCTGCGCTCAGTGCCCCGCTCAGACATGTCTCGAGGGTTTTTGTACCTCTCGTGAAGCCTCTCAGGCAATTGGAACGGCACCTTGACCTCTTCGCGGGCCTGCAGCGCATTTGAGAGAGATGAGAAGCAAAAGAGGATGCCAGAATGCTCTTTGAACGGCTTTCACAGCCTTCTTACCCGAAATGCAGCGAACAGACAAGGTTAGATGGCAGCAAACGAGCTCGCTCAGACAACCGATCCTGTAAAGCAGCAACTAGCGAGCAGCAAGCCTAGAAAGGCACCTGCACAGGAAGTGAAGGTCACTGAACTCAAAGCGACGTCTTCCTTCGAACTCAAAAAAAGGGCAACTTCCGGATGTTGCCTTGCGGGTTGCGTTAGAAGCTGTAGTGCACTGAACTGTGGCTGACTTGGAGTACCATCTTGGAGCGACCACAGTTTTGATGCTGCTCACCTCGAGGGGCTCCAACCAGGTGACCAGGGCATCCTTCCAGGAACGGCTCCGGTCAACGCATGACAAAACGCTCTCCGGCCTCTCCACCTTGGCGCTCCCCGGGGTCCGCCACTCACGATCCACTGTGTACACGTTGAGGTCGATGAGGGCGGCGATGCTCGAGTGCCATTGGCGCAACCTCTCTTTGAGCCGCCGCGCAAAGTGGGCCGCCCCCCCCGTGTTAGAGCCGAAGACGAGCTGGCGGGGCGCCAGCTGGTTGATGGTGAGGTGGAGGCTGAATTTCGCCTGGCCGGAGCTCTCGATCCACACGAAGCTGCTCTTCTCCAGCTCATGGCCATAGCAAGCCGCAAAGACAATTCCGGCCCACTCCTCGATCGTCCCCATGACCTCCTCCTTCGTGTGCCTCTCCCCCTCCCCGTGTCCGGCTTCAACCCCACCGTCTGTCTCCTGCGCCCGCTTCGTTTTAAGGGGGAGTCCGTCTTTACCGTCGAGGTCGAGGTAGGGCTTGCAGGGCTTCCCGTGTTGGATGATTTCGGTCACCGACTTGTGCCGCCCCTCCAGATGCGACCGAGCTGTCTCCCAGTCTGGGTACGAAGCGAAGCTGCGCCACGAAATCCTAACCCCGTTCCTGACCTTGCCAGACCACTTGTGCAGAACAACCTGGGCTTCATGGTTCAGGAGCGCAGCCTCTTGCTGCATAAAAAGCTTTGGACCAGGAAGGCGCCCCCTAGGGTTGGCCTTGGTTTGATGGAAGCAGTTGGTGCCATGCTCTCGCACGCGTAGGACTCGGAAGTCGTCCTTCTTGAAGACCTCGTTGCCTGTGAGCGGGTCAGACTGCACCACCGGCTCGGGCACTGCCTCATACACCAGGGAGCTGCATGAGGGAGCGTTAGAGTCAGTTGAAGGCTCAGCGAAATAGGACTCTGCCGATATGGGACTTGATGCGCGTGCTTGGGCCGTGCACTTGATGCGCGTGCTTGGGCCGTGCTCAGATGAGCAACTCTCTCACTCTGGAGAGCTTGCCATACCCTCCAAGATGTACCAGAAAACTGCCGTTTACTCTCCAAAAAGTTGAACGTCATGTTGGAAAGGTGGAATCCTTAAAGGGCATGTAATGCTTCTTAGGCTTGCCATATGCCCCGATGAATGTACCAAATAGAGCACTTGACGTTTCAGAATAGTGATTAAGGCAAATCTGAAACCCCACGTGCTCAATAAGGCTCATCAGAGAGCTTGGCGGGCTTGGAGCCGGGTGCTTGCGCATGGTGAGTGCAAGGGCTCTGTTGCACTTCCAAAAAAGTAACAAAATATTCCTGAAACATTGCTATTGATGATGCTAGATGCCATTTGCTTTCGCAACGACCAAAAGAGACGAGAGAATGCTCTCTCACCTGTGACCCAGTTCAGGATCGGATGGACGGTCCAAGTCCGGCGCTTCCTCCTGCCGCCGCATCTCCCCCATCCGCAAGCGCATGCCAGCGAAAGCAGCATCCACAGACCTGGGCACGCCCCCCCTCTCACGCGTCTCGTCGACTGCACGGTGCACGTTGGGGTCGTCATCTGACAGTTGAGAATCGTCCATGGCTCTGAGGTCATCGGAATCCGGCTCAATCTCCGACTCCGACTCCCCAGAAGAGTCCTCAATGTCCTCGTCAGCATCCTGCGAATGAAGAGAGAGCTTAAGAAGCGTCCAATTGATGCAAGTTACACCGTCTTGCAATTACACGTCGAGTCCCCTTGGCAGCAACGGGGAAGGAAGGCTACGAGCCAGCCCCTAAGCATCTCGAACACTGGCAAGAAGAATCCTCGTCATGAACAAGCACCTTGATTCGCAATTCCATGCAACCGTGGAAGGGAGCGGCGAAACCTCTTCACGTCGGTGCAGCTGAACTGCCACCAGAGTATTGTGCTGATCCTCGGTAAGCGGCTTGGAGAGCGCAAAGCGGCCTGTGACTGGTAGAGAAACCCATCGAAATGTCTGATCCGAAAGAATCGATCCTCCTAAGTCTACTTCGCCGCGAGCAATGCTCACCTCATCAGATGCAGCTGGCGCAGTGGGACCGGTGCGCCTGTGCACCCTCGCATCGTCTACGGGGCTCCTCGCATCCAGGGACCTCTTTCGGCCAGTCGCTCGTCGAGAATTGCGAGCACCACGCGCAGTCACCTGTATTATAAACGACACCGATGAGACGATGGGCGGTCTGGCAGCCTGCGCTGCAAAGCAAGGGAAAGGGCACGATTCCAACCACCGCTGCAACCAGTTCGCAAGCATTTCTGCAATCAGAATCTCGCATCATGAACGAAAAGTGCGTTGCTCAGAAACTACGGAGAAGTCTTTATGACTGGCAACAGAAGAGTCTTGGTACCTTGTGGGGTCGGCCATGCCACCTGATTTCTCTTGTAGTTCACCGCGTGTACCAAGATTCGTGAATAAGGACTCAAAAAGATCCTGGTACTGTCGTTGACTCGAGCGCTGTTGCATTCACTGGGAATGCGAGATCCCCCACTCGTGTGAATGCGGATCCGGCTTCGCCTCCCTCTGTAGCCTGAGCCCGCCTCTCGGCGAGAAACTCAGCCAGCTCCAATTCCGAAGGTTCTTCCAGGTTCGGAAGCACCGTGTTCCCAGGATCAACGTCGACCTGCAAGAAGCGGGGGGCTAAGGTGAGTTGACGCACTTAGAGGAATGCTTCGCCTCCTGCAGCAACAAATTTCGAGCTGATGGCTGCCAACCTAGATCAAGCCCTGTCAGACGAGCAAATCGGAGAACTCTTCGACATCAGCAATGACAAATAAGGCGCTCGCGAGTTGGCGAGAATGGTTTTTGATGTCGTTACGAAGGCGTTCAAAGCCGCCTGCCAGCAGTACAAATGCGGCCGCGGGATGACAAAGCTCGATTGGGTGGCCGTCTTCAAGCAGTGGAGACAAGGACTCGATTTCGACGTGGAAGGTCCTAGCTCATTGTTTTCGATACACTTCCGCGCAGCTTTAGACGAGGAGGGCCGTCCTTCTCTCCTCCACGATGTCAGAGACCTGGAGGAATCTTTGGACCTATACGACGAGGAGGAGTACTACTAGCAGCGTTGAGGATGAGACACTCACTTCTGCGTGCGCGCCGGAACGAGTAGCACGCTCTCCTTGAGACGGAAGCTCTTTGGAGATGGCAGGCTCACGGGATGTTGGCTCGTGGCGCATAGCCTGCAAATAGAGAACTGGGGTTGATCGGGGGGTGGTGCAAAATACACCTCCTGCAGAACGATGCAAGGGGGATGCTGCTTCATGACTGTGCATCCTCCTGCGGGATAGCAGGAAACGAACATTCGACAAGGCCAAATGAAGGGCCTCAGGTCTTCATCATGACATGCTGGTCAGTGACTGCTCACTTGGCAAATGAGAAGCCCTGGCAGGAAAGACTGCTTTGCAAACGGTGGCAATCCCAGGGTGCTTAGCGGGCAGCCTCTATGGGAAGAGAGTTCGTGCCTTCGCTCTTAGCCGTTGCACTCACCATGCGCACGCGCCCGGCCTAGCTCGAGGGTCCCACTTTAAAGCTTACAGAAACCAACAACGGCTTGCGACTCACCGCTTCGTTTGGGCTTTCGGTCTGTTGCGTAGTACCGATGGGTGGCGAGGAGCTTTCCCTGCTCGGGGTTGCCCTCTTCCGGCCTGCAACCTCCGCTGCCTCCTGCACAGAAGCTAGGATTGCATCACACGTACAGACTTAGGAGAACGATGTGGCTCCCAATGGGCATCGGACCATGGACAACGACACCAGATTTACCGGCCGCTTCAGCTTTTCCCGACCCCTGACTACCGAGGAGAAAGCCACTTTGGACGCAGTCCACGACCACCGCCACCAGGACAATCTAGAGCTACCTTATGCAGTCACTGAGAAGCGTCCAGTCAAGATCGAGCGAGAGGTGTTCAAGCCCTTGTACGTTGGAGAGGGGTACGACTTCCTCTCCGAGAAGTACCCTTCCTTCTATTGCCAATGGACTGTCACGTCCAACAAGCGCGCTCTGGTTTGGGACAAAGGCGAGAAGTTCTACGACTATGTGAGCTGGCTGGAGTACCTCATCTCCCACTTCTTCGCTGTGTGGGGAGTAGTGCTAAGCGGTACCGTTAACTGGAAGGGGGCTAATCGAGGTGACAAGGGTTCCATCGGCGTTGAGAGCGACAAGATCATCGTGAAGATGCCTGTGGCTCTCACGATGGGGCAAGCGGACTCACCGAAGGTGCCAGCTGTGTAGTAGGATGGGGTCCGGTAGCAGGAGGCGGGGCGCTGGAGGAGGGGCCCCCCTGCACGGCAGCAAGGACTTGAGTAGGGAACTTAGAGACAAAGGGCACACAGCGAAGGCAACTTCGACCGATGAAATGGTACTACGGGGGAGAGGCAGTCAGAAAAATGGAACAGATAATAAACGTCTTTGCGCTCAGTGCCACGGTTGACAGAGACACTTTGGGGCCAGCAGCAAGTTTTAGGATGCAGCAGCATTCGCAACCACGCACCTCTGCAGAAAGGGCACATGCGATGACCCGCAGGTTGTGTACTGGCCATGGCTGTTACGGATATTCATGGTAGTAGGGGGATTTGAGCGCTGGTCAAGCGACGACCTTGACTGCTTCTTTGAGGACTTTTTGGACAATGACCCCGACAGAGAGGAGGCACCAAAAGGCGAGCGCTTCAAGCGCGTTTGCAGCAATCGAAGAGCGTCAAGGACACTCACCTCCTCGCTGATTCCTAGCGCAATCGGCTGCTCCATCCCCGATTGAGTTGGCTGGCTCGTGGAGCGGGCCGACGTCACCGCCCCAACATCAGACTTCTGCACATGATAGGATTGCGCTTTGATCCGACTTCTTCACATGGACGCCAGTGCCCTTCGACCAGACCAGACCTTCCTCACATGAGAACGCGTGCCCCTGAACGAGACCTCTTTGGGATGTGAGAGTCTGCACATGATGATGGTAGTTCCCTTGGATCGGACCTGAGCACATGAGAACGAGTCTGCTTGACAAGACTCGTCCATCAAAACATTCTCACCTGTAGCTGCCACTCCTCAAACACCCGAGTGTCAAGTGCTTTTGGCCGGCTGCTTTCGTGGACCTCCTGCACGTTGATGACGGCATGAGTACATGACGCCGTGCTTCTAGCACCCGCCCACATCATGAAAATCAACAGCGGTGCGTGACACAGCCGTACAGAGATTGTTCGCCACGTACCTGCCAGGGCGGGATGGTGAATAAGTGTCGTCCACCAGAGCCGCCCGGGGAGTCCGAATTCTGCGACATCCCGGGGTTGCTCTCAATTCCCCCAATCATGAGGAGGGTCTCTGTATCACAGTAACACATGCTGCTCAGATCGGGACATGATGATTCTGCCTTGCAAGTCACAGACCTTAATGGCCTCTTGAATCTCGCATCACCCCAGCCGCAAGCGCTCAGTCATTCGTGCACATGTGACCCTTTCGATCTGCAATGAAAACGAAACGACTGCCAAGATTCCTCACCTATCAGCCCCCTGGTCAGAGGACCCGAGTCCAAGAACATCTGAGACTCGTTTGCGGTGGTGGAGTGATGACGGCCTGCGGCGGGGTTGGACTCGTCGCAATCCGACTCTGGCGCGCCACAGCTCGCATGGATGGGTGCTGCGGGGCGCCTCGCGGGGAAGCACGTGTCAAGGTTGAGGCTGTTGCGGCCAGGGCGCGCGTACAGAAGATCTGCAAAGGGGTGCAAGTACGTTGGCCATGCCTTAGAGATTCTGAGGAGGCCTGCAAGGTCGGCCATACCTCAGAGTTTCTGAAAGATGTTATAGTTCACCGTGAGGTACCAAGGTTTGGCCTTTAAGATTGTATAAAAGAAGACGCAAGACCTTGGTACGCCGCTGTTTGAGGGGGCCTGCAAGGTCGGCCATACCTCAG